CCCGCCTTTTTCAAAAATTACGGTTCGGTCTGCCAACAGTTATATCCCACCCTTCGTTTTAACTTTCTGACTCCGGCCATCCCACATTTTGACTTCTTTGGTTAGTCCACTTCTTTTAAGGTAACATTTTGGCCTTCTAACAGTCGGAAAACACGGAAGCTGGAAGGCTGAAATTTTGTGGGCATGCCTCCCCCCACGCATGTGCTACCCAGAAACTTTAAATTCAGCTTTCCCCTGCCCCACGGGTAACATGATAACTCGAATCATATCTCTGTAGCCGACAACTCCACCGACTGAGGTCTTTTATCTTCCGTTTCTGTACTATGCTAGAGACCAATTGGTGATAAGCTGTGAATGATGAAGAATAGTTTAAAATATTAAGTATCATACATATTTGAATGTTAAGAAATTTAAAATATGAAGAAATTTTTTTGTCATTCAATGTCTTTTCGTTGCTTGTAAAGGAATTCATGTCTCAAAAACTGATTTTTCAAAAAAAATAAAAAATGAAAAAAAAAAATCAGAGTCAAATGGAAAATTTTAGAACAACAATACTTCTTTTCAACAAACGAATGTCGGATATCGTGCCGGAAGAATACTTCTCCAGATGTATGATACTACTAGAAAATCCTCTTCTCAAATTAATCCACTGCCTAAGTGAGCCAGATCTCGGATGGCATGGTGAAAAAGGTTTGTTTTTTCTTTTTTTGCTAACACTTTCGGGTACGATTAAATTAAAGGTTGAAGAGAAAATATCAAGAAAAAATGAAAACAAAGAAAAAAGGGAGAAGGGTTGTAAGATGGGAGAGGGGTCTGAGGAAATATTTGTAATAGGTAAGAAATGTTCCGGTCCACTGACTCAGTTCTAGTCTGAAAAATGTCATATCGTCTAAGAGCAGCAGCTTTCGAACGAAGCGGCCACACTCGACAAACAGAATGCAATACAAATATCATACACATCGCGATACTTTTAAGGCTCTTTTTTTGCAGATGAAGTGTTAAGCTGATATTTCTTTCAAAAGGCGAAAAAACCTTAGATTCACTTGCATTCGAGCCACCAACTGATCAAAGCAGTTAGAGAACAGAAGAGCGAAAAACCAAAATTGGACGGTCCAAGTAGAGCGGGTGAAGAGGGTGAAATTATCACATGGTTTTTTTTTGGCCGTTGTTAGGCTGAACCACACCTTCTGTTGTAACGGTCCGTACAAACCAAAGAAAATTCAGAATGATTGAATTTCATAATTTTTAAGAATGAGGAATGGAATTTACTACTAGAAGTTGGAATTATCAGACTATAAAGTACAGTTGACCTCAGTAATCCTAATATACATAAAGTTAGTATTATGTAATAGAGTTCTCTCAAACATGCCTAATTAAGCCAGATTTTTGCCAAGTAGTTGTCTTTCAGGATTGATCTCAAAAGAGCTAATACTAAAATATATCGACGAAAGCAATAATCAAATTACGGGTTATCGAGTACTGGTCTGCGGTCCAGATCCTTTTATTGCCCTTGCTGCAAAGTAAGATTTTTTTTTTTTTTCGAGGCAAACATTCACATTTGAAATTAAAATCAAATTGTATTTAAAAAAAAGTTTAGTTGAAATGTTTAATTTGATTTTCAGTAAAATACATCTTCGTGAATGGGTATTGGAGTGATGGGCAGTGTTACTTTTTAGTATATAAGGGGCAGTGATATTCAAAGGCGAAATTTAGTGGGCCAACGTCGCCAAACAAACTGCGCATGTTAGCACATAGACGCGATTTCAAGTCCCCCTCCTCTTCCAGTCTTCTAGCCAGGGATATTCATTGTTTGTATCTTTAAAATTTCTACAACACTTGGCCTAAGATGAAAGCAAAAGAGTGATTGCTGGCTAAAGTGAAGGATCTTTGTGACCTTATAAGTGCTGAGTTCAGTCTTCTGACAACATGCAGGATGTCACTGCAAGTATATCAAAATTTTATGAGATCACTCTGCTCGCTTTTTTGGCTTTCGACAGATTTCTTGTATCTGATACGTACGGGAAGATTTGCGATCATATCGTTTCCTCTTCTGTTTCTTCCTATCGTCATTCTCTTCTCTTTTTTTTCCATTAAGCACTGCGACAAGGTCCTGTCGCGGTTTTAAGACGTATATGACTTAATGGATCGAAACGCCTTACCTCACTCTTACCTTCTTTTCTCATACTGTTCTTTCATGCTGTAATCTATTGCGCCTTCGCCATCTAGGCTTCCAAGGTCGACCTGGCTGCTACAGTTGGCTTAGGTACCATAAGGGCAGTCACGTACGAGGAAATCCGCACATAGATCGGACAAGCGATAGATAGGACGACAGAAACTCTGCAGCTTAGGATCGAAAAATCCGAAATAGGTATATCATGCGTTTGGAAACCCAATAACTTACCAATATGGAAGCACTTTTTAAACTTATCGAACGGTATTGATGTTTCTGGCGCACCTTTTCAAAGTACTTCTGATGTTTTTAAGTGTTACACTGAATGTACTGTAGAAATTTTAGAGATATAAACAATGAGTATCCCTGGCTTGGGGATGATTGGAAGAGGACGGAGGCCTGAAATCTTCTATGCGTTAACATATGCAGTTTGTTTGGCGTTGTTCGCCCACGTAAAACTTCACACTAGAAGTGTTTTTGCTAAACATTGATACTGTGTCACGCTTAGACC